GAAACCGCGCGAAAGTAGGTAGAGGATAAATATAAGGCATTAGCTGTATGGAGATTTTTTTCATATTTGTTGGGCCGACGTTTGACCACTGTCTCGCCTGGTGGTAAGCGATGATACTTATTTTATAAACTTTGTTTAAAAACCCACTTCAACCGTCTCTTTTTTGAAGTGTAATGTAATATACCTTAATAAGTGACTAATAAACCTTCTCCTAAATGTAATAAACACTTTGCTAAAAGCTGCATTACAATCAGTTTAGCCAATCCCTGCGGATAACCACGCACCAACATACATACGGATCAAATTGAGAAAAAGAAGGACTTTTTGAAGTCGGTTAAAAAAAACAATTCAATAATAACACAATACTTAATGCAACAATCACACTCTTTTAAAATTATTCAAAGGTTAATTAAGAAATAACGTTAATTAAATTAGCCCCATTCATCTATTTAAAGCTGTAGACCATTAAAGGCCTTTAATTCTACCTCTATACCTTTTCAAGAAGGGTCATTATGGTTTATGAACTTGAGAATATCATTTGAGATGGTCCCTTGTTTAGAAATAGTTTTATTTCTACTCTAGAACAATAATGATGTTTCAGTTCGTTTTAGGTCACTCAAAGTATTATTGTGTGTTTTCGTTCATGAAAAATGTATCAGTAATGTCTTTTTTATGGAATAGAAGACAGACGAACAGAAGTCACTGATGGTAAGCCATCAGTGCTGCAGTGCCACCCAAGGATACCCGCAATACCAGAGGAATGCACGTGCATTGCCGACCTTACAAAAGGAATAAGCTATTTTCTTGCAGGTCGTATCGGTTCGGAAATATCACCGGCGGAATTGGGCCCGGTGTATGGCAATGGAGTTCACCCTCTGCCACATGTGTCTGATAACAAAATGACTAAAAAGTGAGTTTACATTGCATGTTTTGTGCATCTCTGCCTGCCCCATAAGGGAAAAACAGGTGCATGGCTATGTTACAATATCTGAAGCTCCGTCGAGACTTTGGTTAGTTCACAAATTAACCAACAGATGTCGTTATGCTCAAATTTCGTTTGACACTAACTTCGAGATATATCAACAAGATCATACAATTGCATTGATAGTACATACGTACATACATACATAACTATAATGTATGTTAATAAACACAAGGCGACCGGCTGTCGTGTCGTCTTGAAATGGTAATACAAAATGATCATATATATGTATATATACACATATGTGTTTGTGTGATGAATGCACAAAGTGAATAGGTCGTTATTAATTTAGGTTATGTAACGCATATTATCTATTATGTAAGACCCCTAAATCATCTCTTAACTAAGAGTTACTTAACGTGACGGAGCACTTAAACTAAGGTTTCACTTTTAAGTATGACTTATAGATGAGTAAAAACCAAAATGTCGGTGTCACCTATCTTAACTTATTCTTTAAACTGTCAAACACCAAGCGGTCACCGGTGACCGCTACCTATTGTTCTTTAATTGTGTCTATAAATACGGTACTCGACGAGTTAAAACTAAGCGAAATTGTTGAACACAAATAAACAAATTGATTAAAGTTAATGTACTCACAGATACATATGATACTACAATTCAAGAAAATTGCAGATACAACTTACAGAAGAGCATATTTCAAAAGAATTCGAAACTTGAGCCATTTAAATAGAAAGTGCCTGAAACATTTTAAGCTGAAAACATATTCCTTTTACACATAGCTAAGTTAACACTTCAAACGGATAGGTCATGAATTTTGGACGGTGTAGTGCTACGCGGCTACGCGGCTACTACGAGATGCTACGTCGTAGCCAGTAGTCACGTATGGATTCCTCTGTTCAGAAACCTATTTCGATTGCAGTTTCTGTACACGTTATTAAATATACCTTTATACTACAACACTACATGGTACACTCAGTGTATAAATCGGATGCCTCTGTAACGAGTAAAATTTATTGAGACATGACAATTATGTTCTTTTTTTTTCAAGTGAATGATTTTGTTTACCTACTACAATCTTTGTTGAATAACCCGCAACACTGTAGTCTGACGCAGATTTCAGACTCGGATTCCAGGCAGGTGGTAATGCCCAGTCACCGTCTCTGATGAAGTTCGGACGACGGCTTATTTCGATGGCCTCACGTACTTTCCGCGGTACGAAGTATTTCTCCCTCGCCAGTACTGAGACCTTGTCGAAACGGAGGAAGTGAGCCGTGCTACACGCGTGCTCGGCTACTGCCGATGTATGAGTGTCACGGTTCTTCACACTGCGTATGTGTTCCTTAAGTCTGGTTGCGATGTTGCGGGGAGTTTCCCCGATGTAACTCGAGCCACAGTCGCATGGTATCATGTATACTCCGGCCACCTGGTCAGTTACGACATCTACTGCGCTCGCCTAAGGACAAAGATCCGCTGGCAGTTCCCGTTCTACGACACTACTTGGTACACTCAGTGTATAAATCGAATGTTTTTGTATGGAAACGAGAGTCTGTAATTGTAAAAATTATTGTGACATGATAATTATATTAGTGTTCGCATCAGCTGCCGTATGAAATTAAAAACGACGTGTTTGACATTTATGTTAAAATTTTTGTAGTAGTGTAAACGTACCTAAGGTTCCGGTAGTGATTCTAGAATTTTGGTTTTTTATTTTTTTTATACTGCATGATTTTGTTTCTTTATAAATGAGGTACCTTCTACAATCTTTCTTGAGTATGTATAGAATTTGAATTGCCTACCTGCAAAGAAATACATTGTTTTGCAAGATTTATGTTTATACTTTCGAAGGTGTTTTTATAAACTCAGTATTAGCACGGAGTCTGGAATTGTGCCCGTTATATGGCAATAGGCTCAACCTCTATTACATGGGACTCATAACATAAATAGTGAAAGGTTAGTATTACAATATACAGAGGCATTAAGTGCCGTAATGTGCACCTCTGCCTGCAGCTTCGGGGCTAAAAAGGCGTCATGTTATGGTACATTTTATAAATTTACTAAAAATTACGAGTTACTCACGTAAATATACTGAGAAAAGCTATACTGCAATGCAAGCACCAACACCAACGTGAGCATCACGCCACAGCCAGTAGGCTGCGCGACATCGCCGCGTCTGCGCACGCTACTCATGAGGAAGAGTCCCTCTGTCTGCCTCAAAACTAGTAGAGCTTTTCTCAATATATTTACGAGAGTAACTCGTAATTTTTGGTATTTTTCACTTAATTTTTTTACTAATATAGTAATTTTTTTACAATTTCTATATAACTTACAGGATTTTTTAAATTGTTGCATGTGTATTGGATTTTCTCTTTGGGTACTTATGACTCATAAAATAACTGTTAATAAATGAAAGTGTGGTTATGAACTTCTGCTTATCCCTTTTGGTAATAATAGCTACCATGTTACGGTCTTCAAAAATTTCAAAATAAAATAGAAAGTCAACATTTCTGCAACGTATGGGTCCTTTAAAATATATGACTGTGCAACTCAACGATATTTTTATGTTGGACGCGTCCAGCTTGACATCGCTTGCACGTGGTGCTTTGACACGTGCTGACTATGTCACGTGACGAACTACGTCATTCTTGTTCAGACGTTGAGCAATAGAGTGTTACAATAATGCTTTGAAAATAACATGTTTTTGTAGTTTTGTTGGCATCCTTATATAATGCGACTGGCAACAGTGTTCCGTAACTTTTATGCTTACGTCTAATTTAATTTGTATCAGGTTTTACCTGCGATTTTGTCTGCGTATTCCTTTTTTATCCCTTGCTAGTATTTAATGGGGATAAAACGTCCAATCACCTAAGTCAGCCCATACCCTGCCTGTATACGAAATTTCATCAAAATCGGGTTTGTAGTTTTAACGTAATTGACGGACAAACATACAATCAAAGAAACTTTCACATTTTTATAATATTAGTGTGATAATTTTGTAACGCAATGAAAATGTTGCAAATCTAACAACACCTCGTCTGATCAGAGTACCCATTGAATTTTGATTGTTATTAATTCTTCTAAATTAACAATTATCTATTCTATATCAGTAATTTTCTATAAGACCCTCTGCACTAGTTTATCAGGTGTATCTATCTATTTAGGGGTGCCGAAAGGGATGTTTCTTTTATTAGTAACTGGCTTCTGCCAGCAGCTGCGCCAGCAGTCTCGATGGGTAAAAATTAACCCATGTGTTATTTCAGACCACCAGACTATAGTCTACCCCTGGTCCAAAATTCATTTTGATCCGTTCAGACATGTTGACGTGATAGAGTAACAAACATGCACACAAACACAAGAACACACGAAAACACAAACTCACAAACGTTAGTAAGATGGGCCAGCGTTTGACCACTATCTCGCCTGATGGTAAGCGATGATGCGGTCTACGACAAAACACGCCTATTCATTCGAGACATGAAGATTCGAGTATTTGAATAGATCAGAACAAGATAATAATATTGTTACATTCCTATATTATATAACTGAACTAACAATTTCAGATTCTTTCCTCATCTATCGATTAAGGAAAAATACTCCAGATATAACATTACATAATCAATATTTCGTAACGTTTTATAATTTATTATCATATAAGAATCTCTGAAGAAATAGAGAGGATTGTGACGTCACTGAAGCGACTGGATCTGTCAGACACATGGCATCTTGACGAAGGTATGTAAACAAATATTTTCTATTATGATTTGCTATTCTTATCCTCGATTTAGTCCACGTGGATTGTGAAGTAAGGGCCTCTTATGAGATAGAGGCATAATCGTACTAATATTATAAATGGGTAAGTTTGTCTGTTTATTTGTTTGTTACCTTCACGTCAAGACGGCTGACGGATCGGGATGAAATTTGGTCCAGAGGTACATTATGGTCTTGACTTTAGACTTGCCCTGAATGAGTTAGCCCACTTTTCAGTTAAAATGACTTGTAAAAACAAACATGTTTGGATGTTGTGTCCGCAGATCCCCAATCTCCCCAATCCCTGAATCCCCAACGATCCTCAAACTCCTAATCCCCAAAAAGATGGTAACGCACTTGTAATGCCTCTGGTGTTCCAGGTGTCCATGGGCGACGCCGATTACTTCGTCGGTTAAAAAGACTACATATTATTAACAACTAATTCATTTTGATTGAAACGTAGATAGTCAACTCTTATAAGTGAGTATCACCCACGAGACAGCCTATAAGTGACCACTGCTGAGCAAAGGCCTCTTTTCACATGGAGAAGGTTTGAGCATTAATCACCACACTTGCTCAGTGCAGGTTGGCTATTTCAAACTAATAATTAGAAATTATAAGTCCAGGTTTCTTTACGATGTCCGTCCTACTGTATGTTATCATTGGTGTCTGAATAATCTTAGAAACCAAAGCACATATAACTCACATTGATACTTGCTAAAAAGTCACATTGATACTTGCCAGGTATCGAACCCGCACCCTCATTAACATCTGACATCACACGACTATTATTGTTAGTTCGTATATTATTACCCAAGCTTACTACTATATATAATATATATATATATATACTTACGATCCCTGTGTATATAAAAGTCCAGAATAAATCCGTCGATTTGTCTTACTTACGTTGCTGGTTAGCGCTGCGATTCGTTACCCTGACGTCGACGTCACGTCACGTCATCATTTAGTCAACTAAATTGACTTTAGACTTGCCCAGAGTGAGTTAACTCACTTTTCAGTTAAATTGACTTGTAAAAACAAACATGTTTAGAAGTTATTGTGCTCTTTAGATTTTTATTAACCCTTTGAGTACCGTCATTATAGACACAATTAAAGAACAATAGGTTGCGGTGACCGGTGTCCTCGCGGTGTTTGACAGTTTAATACATATTATTGAAATGTTTGCCTTGTGTCTGCAGTTATACTGAGACCACTGAGTAAGAGGTGTCAGGTTAAATTACTGATTTTTTTTAAGGGGGGGAAATCATCGAATGAATGCTCCCGCCTGTATGAGGCGGAAGGGAGTGTCAGACTCTTATTGACTAAAGACCACCCCGTTCCTTATCCTGCACGTTGTGCCGGAGCCCCGGTTACCCGTTAGGTTCTCCGCGACTCCGAATCGGCATCGGCCTTATTGGGCCCCATCCCCCATCTGTGGTGGTCTGATGGCTCTTTGATGCCTGCGGAACGCGACGCGCCGTACGCTCGGGAAATTACTGGGTTAGGTTAAGGATTTTTTTTGTACTTGACAGGTCAGCGTTTGGCTACTATGTCGCCTAGTGGTAAGCGATGATGTGGCCGACGATGGAGCACGCCTACCCATAAGCAAACTGCTCACTCGAAACTTAAAGACACCCAGGTTGTGAAATACAGACTCTGGCAAGGAATTCCAATCTATAGCGGTATTATTTAGATTTTTCGAAAAATTCTCAGTAACACAACGCAGTCTTGAATTATATTCAGTTTATGGTAATAGGCTCATCTTCTACCCCGGGCAAGCGTACTCGGGTTCGATTCCCAGGTCGGGCAAAATATTATTGAGTTATTAAAAAATCCTTAGTAGCACGGAGTCTGGAATTGTGCCCGGTATATGGCAATAGGCTAACCCCCTGTTACATGGAACTCAATATAAATAGAGAAAATTGGGTTTTACATTGTACAGTGGCATTAAATGCCGTAATGTGCACATCTATCTACCCCTTCGGGGATAAAAGTTGTGATGTTCTGATCTATATTATATGTGAATTTTTGCCTACCTACTCTGGCATTACGAAGTGTGATGTTGTTTATGTATGACTCGACTTCAGCCAGTTAGTTAGCCAAGAGATTTCTAATAGGTACATAGGTATTAGGTACACATCAAATCTACAATATTGTAAATAAAACACTACTATTTTCAAACCAGTTTCTTTATTTCATGTTCATCATTTTAATACAACATACAAGTAAATTTATCATCAGATATTATTTTATCAATTCTTAAAATCTACCTTAACTAAGACTTGAATAACAAGTAAGTATGTATGTATGAGTATTCATATCGATATACCGATACATCGAAATGGTATCGATATGTACCGAAAAACATACGGGAGATAAATGCTCAACCCACACATAATTAATTCACAGATAAATAAACAAATTAACAAACGTTTTTCTTCAAAAAAACCGACAATGGAATGTTCATTATTAAAAGTATCAATTCCAATAAAAGCCTGAATAAAAATGCTTTGCTGATAAAAAAATAAAACACAAAAACGCACAAATTCACACAATAACTTAAACATGGAAGATGAATGTCTTAACTTTTTATGTTCGCCATCTTTGTGACGTCATTTGACGTTTATTGTCATGACAGTATAGTTTCCAAGATGGCGTCCACCATATGAACGAATTTTATTGAATATTCAAAGTTATGTCTGTTACGGTGATTATGCTTCAACTTCACGTAAGCTATCCAAGAAAAAACAATGTGTACATTTTTATGCTTTTGTAGATAAGCAATTTTTTATCATCGCAGACTTAGAACGCGCGAAAAAACGACATCGTGCGACAAATGACGTAACAAAATGGCGCGTAAGAAAAACAAAACCCGAAACTCCTTTTATCTCAAAGACAAATGACTGTAACATTAATTCCAACTGCAAAATATACTTTACAATATACTTTTATCATTTTTAAATAAAACAAGAGGTACACAGTCAGTATTATTTCGACAACGATTATCTAACAGGGAATCTAAATTTCCATATATTATTATTAATATTGAAAGGGTCGCTTAAGACAGTCACAGCGAAGGAAAGTTACAAGCTAAGGAAAAACACAGGTTATTAATAATGAACATGAAAAATCAAGTTTAATTTAGACACTAATATGGATGCAGCCCATAAGATCTGTTCGTACTAAGTCTCAATATTCTTCATTTACATGTCTAATAAGAAGAATTATCCGTTGAGAAAACCGCTCCGTTAATCTTGTAAGCTTTCATGTTCAGAATTATCCCGACAGACACACGGTTGTTACCAGTGTCGTGACTAGAGAAATAAATAGTTAATGGAACTCCCGAGGGGATCAAATTAAAGAATACTATCATTAGGAGGTTAAGTACAAAAGTTTCTTATAACATAACACGCGTACTAGCGAGAAAACTTAGAGTCTAACCTAATCGAAAGTTAGATGACTAGCGTCGGCGACACACGATAATAAATTACAAATAAATTATCAATAATTTTCAACAAACGAAATCAATTTCGGTAGACGAGAGAGATTTAGTTTTGACAGAACCAATCAGAGGTGATATGTCCAAAAAGTGGATGGAAAACATTACATTTTAGCTTACTCAGAAGTAGCTCTTCGTTTGAGCGAAATTTAACATTATTTATGTATCGAATACATTGCATAATAGTGATTAATTATCGCATACAAGTATACTCTTCAATAATAAAGGATGCATAGATGTCGTAGCTGAGACATACCACTCTCCGTCACTAAATATAAACGTGACAAGCGGTAAGTCATCAACTATAGGATATAATGAAGAAACTGCTAATCAGTTTCTCAATAAAAACGTTCGATATACTAAAAAAGAGAATCAATATCAACTTTAAATGAATCCACAAGATATTTTATATCTATAGGCAACCATTTTGAAATTTTAACCGGTGTTTAATTAACTTTTGCATGTAATCACGTTTAATCCTTCAATACAAAGTTGGGCGGTTCTATTGTTTATCTATTGTTTCTCGAGAGTTAACGGATCAAGTTGTCTCTAAACTTTGATTAGATAAGTTGGTATCCGGAGTCGTGATCATTTAGCCTTTGATAGGTTCAATGTCAAAACAATACATGTTACAGAGATGTAGAGATGAATATAGTCAAAAACAATGTCACTACAAGGGTGTCCAACATCGAGAATCAATTTAAAACTTTAACAATTTCAAAATACAAACTTTAAGACATATTTTTTTTCTAACAATGAAGAGATTGAATCCTTTTAATATATACTGAAGTTCAATCTCTCGTAGATTTGAGTTTTGTAGTAGTGAACAGCACAAAGTGTTACATCCCTTGCTTAGTTCACTTGCTAATAATATAGGTATACCAAGTAAATTGATATGTAGATGTACTGTACAATTGTTTAACTGTTTAAATAATTCGCATAAATAACATATGTAATGCAGTGACAAGAAATTACTTACAATACTAAAGAACTAGAGAGTATCTTTATTTATAATTCATCTCTGCATTTCTGTAAATTTTCATGGATGATGCCTATGTAACGGTTGGTTTCTGCCAAAGGATTAGGCAGTTACTTTTATTTTAACAAAGGTAAATTTTGGCTGGAGAAATCTGTGACAGACAACTTGAACAAAGCAATAAATTACTTTGCTAGCGAGAAATTTGATTTTATTCGTAAACCAACCGTCCATAAATGCATCGCCGAATTCTTAACATTTTTGTGCAATAACCATAGTGCAGTAAAATAAATAGTGGGTCGATATCGATAAATGGATGTGCTACGAAGGCGGAAACAGGTGTACCGATTTAAAGATCAGAACTGTCGAATACAATCTAATGTAACATGAATACTAAACAACTAAATCAATTGCCATGATTTCACTGTGTATCGAGCACAACGCCCTATTATCGAGTCATCGAGTCATCTCCACATAATATCACCATAACCTCAAATCGTCAATACTAACTTAGTACAGTATACGGATAATTGAATATAATTGATGTTTCCTACAAAACACAGTACAAATCATGGTAACGATACATTTTTATTACCACACGTTAAGTTTAAATTCCTACACAGATATAAACCTTAAGTATCGATTAGCATTCAAGTTCATTATGAAAAAATATATCATTGGAAATATTTTTCAACTTCTCTCCTTAATTTCAAACCACCCAAGAACAACTTAATTTTATGCAGTTGACAACCGATTTTTATAACTACATGTTTATTCCTAACAACACTTTGGCAACAAATATTATTTTCAATTTTTTTTTTCATTACTTTTTCCATCAAATTTCAAATGTAACGTCAACATTTACTGAAGTTAACATTACCATTGTTATTATCGAACCCGATCATTTATCGATTTTATCATCGTCTTTA